CATACATATAATAATTTATCTTATTTTATTAACTATAACTTATAAAAAATACAACTACATCATTTCATCACTGAATTTCATTAAGATGTTTCTTAAAGTTTAAAAATAATAATATTAGTAACAAAACTAAATGATTTTGTTAGAATATCGTCTTTAAGATATTTAAAACACACCTGTGGAGAACAGTTCAGTCAGGTGTTTACAGCAGTTTGGTCCGAGCTCCTAACGAGCCGCTCGTCAAACCCCGCTTCGTTTTAGCTACAACGTACGAGCGCAAATCTTTACGAACAGAAGTCTCCATGGTCTCTGTTATCGTAAAGTTCTGAAGAGTCGCCTGTAACATTACAGATTCTTTAGTTTTGATCCAGACAACTTATCGAAAGCTAATGTTAGCACTGAACATCAACCAGATGTAAATATACGGCAAGCCAGGAGTGACAAAATAAAGAAACGTGCTTCAGACGTGCACACAAGACGCCACGGGGAAGAATCGACCTCATGTCCTGTGAATCGATTTCCCCAAATTTAAATGAAATCGATCTGAGATCAATTAAATCGATTCTTTTAGCCAGCCTGTCTCTAATTTTAGAGGTTCAACAGGACRGAAAAATCTTGCTTCAAAAAACAAAAGCTACAGAGAAAACAAGATAAATTGAGAATAAAGAAGTAAAACATTAAAACATTGGCTTTAGAAGAATCTCAAACTCTAACAGAATGAAAAAGATGAGATTTAAGAGTTTTAACAGCGTCAGCAGCCTGTAGAGATCAGGTTCCAGAAGAGATGAACTCAGTGCTTTTTAAGACTTTAAGATCTGCAGGAACCTGAATTAMATCAATAAAAACACAAACTTACATGTCCAGATCTCCTCGTCTGCATGGTTGATGTTTTGGCTGCAGGAGACAAAACGAGAAGATTAAAAACTAAAACAAACACAAAGAACATTTTGTTGTRTTGTTTTGTGTACTTTGCAGAGCAGGTTTGTTCACAGTTTTCCCAGCCTGCTGGTCTGCGAGTGACATGACGCTGGCGATCACAGGCGACGKGTCCTCTGCAGCTGCAGGAACACACATTCATCACGTTTAGAAACCAAAGCCACACTTTTACCAGAGTTCATCCACTGATTTGGTGACACTAAGCTGGCCTTGTTGTTCTCCAGAGTAAAATAAATAAAGTTTTTTGTCCTGACCTTTGGGGATCTCGCCCTGCGTGGCCACCTGGTCGCAGCAGAACTTCAGCAGACAGTTGAGGGCACAGAAGTGTTTGACCTCTCCCAGCAGAGAAAGGTTCTGCTTCAGTTTGCCTTTTCTCCCGCAGCCGTCACACTTTGCAACCTGACAGGAAACCATGGTCACTGCGTGTCGGCGTTACGGCCTTACGGACGGAGACATGTTCAGCTTACGTGGCAGAAGAGCATGGTGTACTTGGAGCGGCACTCCTCGGAGCAGAACTCCTCAACGGAGCCTCCGTACTGGGCCATGACCAGCTTCTTGGACACGCTGTGGCAGTAAACGCAGGAGTGGCAGTGCTTCCCCCAGTTCTTGCTCAGCTCGTGTCTGAACAGGAGCTTACAGCCTGCAGACAGGAAGTGAAGCTGCCGTTAGCTACCGGCTCAAACCAGGGTTAGAATAATTTACGATTTTTCATTATAGTTTAGTTTTGTTTCATTGTGATTTATTTTCTTTTAATTCATTTAGTTTTAATTAGTTTTTACAGTGCATTTGCTGGTTTTTATTAGTTATTATTGCATTTTTAATGCTTAGTTTTAGTT